AATAAATAACACCCTCGCAAGTAGTAAGTAAAAATTCTTTGCTTGTTACACCTAACTGTCAAAATCTGCCACATTAACATTATATTCATTCACTCTCTACTTGATGAGATTGAGATCATTTAACCAATCATAGTAAAAGTTTGTACAAAGAATTAAAAATTTTATGCTCCCTTGGTCTATTAAATGGCAAAACTTCCTCCTTTGCAATATAAACAGAGCTTGTAATTTGTTATTCCCTTGTAATTAAATGAAAAGTATCAGTACTAACGGATTATAATCAACGCGTACACAATACTCTATATTTCTGAGAAGGGAAAACTATGTTTCAAGTAAGTCTGTACAAAAGTCAAGAACCAACTGCATAAAGATGGAGGGCATGGCTAAATAATATCCACTTTCCTGCTTATTTAGATAGCTAATTATATGAATGCCAGAATTCCCAACAGCATTGAACACGTAAAAATCTGTAAAAAATTCCATGAAACTATAATAACATCTACAATTGAAAGATAATAGAAAGGAAATGAATGAATATACCAAGGACTACGGGGATTGCTTCTCTGGGTAAGAGTCACAAGAACTACCGACGCCTCAACCACATGATGCCATATCTCGTCATCACAAGCCGTGTTCTGGCAACAGGCATCTAGAACAGCGTCCACATACCCACCAAGCTCAGCTGCATCCACATTTCTCCCAATATGTGCGAGGCTAATCATGCCCTGACCCTGAAGTCACACAAGAGATCAAAACTCAGTCATCACAAACAGAACTATTTCAAGATTCATTAGATTATATTTGAACTTCCTATTGCAATTACAGCACAGCACATACCTTCACTACCGCGGACCAATGATCAACAGCAGTCAATGCACAAGGAATCACCAATCCACACAATTTACCCAAATGAGGATAATCAACCTGTTATAAATCCAATTATTATCTTAATGTCTCGGCATAGACAACTAACTGAACCAAACTTGAAGTTGTGAGTAAATAATGCATGCATCCATAGCATGAGTTCTTTTTACAAATCCAGTCACAAACTGATAATTGGTTGACTTCTACAATAACCAGTTAACCACTTTAAAAGGCATTGCCACGAAATTTCTAGTCCGTTGGAAATGTAGAATATATTTTATTTTATACTAAAAATGTATAAAAATTGAACTATCATATTGTTATCTTTATTTTATTGTGATAAAATACAATCAAAGTACCGATATCTAACCTGTGTAATAAACCATCTAAACTGAAAAGCAGCGAGAATGGCAAACCCAACGGGAACTCTCACGGATGCTGCGGAGAACTCGTCACTCTCGTCGGACTTATTTATGGAGCTCTCCTGAATCCTCTCTTTCAAAAGTGGCAAAACCTCGGGCATCAGTTCCAGTACCAACCTCTTCTCCGGAGGAACAGCGCCATCACGATTTCCGTCGCCGAGTTCGGCGAGATAAGCGCAGGAGAGCTCGGAGAAGGACGAGGTTGCGAGAGAGGAGAGGTGGCTGGGGATCCATGAGAGAATGCCGGAATGGTCGAAGGCGGCAGAGCAAAGGAGAGCGCAGGCGAGAGCGAGGTCTTTGACGGAGGCTGTGGGTAGTAAGAGGGGTTCGAGAAAGGCTTTGACAGAGATATTGGAGGCTCGGTGTGGAGTGTAGGAGACGTTGGCCAGAGACTCCGATAGTCGGGTCGATGAACGGAGAAGAAGTTCTCGGAGCGGGGAAGATGGTGGTGCTTCCAACATTTGGTACTGCTTAGGGTTTGGTTCCGCCACTAATGGCAACCCCGCCGGTTTTCTATAACCGACATCGTAATAAGTCACTGTATATTATGAATTATAATTTAATCCTTTTTAACATGGAGGTTTGTTTCGAATACTTACTAGTATTTTAAATGTCTTAATTAGGTTTTTTTATGGTATAAAATTAAATCAATTTAAACCTCGTCGTTAATTAGGTTGGACGACTTTAAAAATTTGGATGTCTGACTTGGTTACATGAGCAAATTGTTTTGACGTGACATACAATAGTCGCTGAGTTAGCTTTCTTTTAAATAAGTTAGTGGTCGGCTAGGTGGTTGATCAATCGGTCTGGTGGTCAATCACTCGACCTGGTGGTCGGCTAATCGGTCTGGTGGTCGGCCAATCGACCTGGTGATTGGTCACTTAGTCTGATGGTCGGTCACTCGGCTTGGAGGATGGTCACTCTGCCTGGTGGTCGGTCACTCGGCCTAGTGGTCGGTCTGGTAGTCAGTCACTCGACTTGGTGATTGCCCGACCACCAGGCCGAGTGGCCAATCACCAAGAAGAGTGGCCGACCAATCACCAGGCCGAGTGGTCGACCACCAGGCTGAGTGACCGATCACCAGGTCGAGTGGCTGACCACCAGGCCGAGTGACCGACCACAAACTTATTTAAAAGAAAGTCAACTCAGCGACCAAGTATGCCACGTCAGAACAACTTGCTCATGTCACCAAGCCACGCATCAAAATTTTTAACGCCGTCCAGCCTAATTAACGATAAGGTGTAATTTGATTCAATTTTATACAATAAGGGACTTAATTGAGACCATTTAGAAACAAACCTCTCCAAATAGGGATGTTCAAAAGGATTAAACCTATTTTAAATTACTTGTGGGAAATGCTTTTCTGGTGAATGGGTTATTTTTTTATGAGTTTTAACTATATAACTATTTTCTATTATCATTTGGTATTTTCGGGTAGCGATAAATGTGTAAAAGAAAGAGTATATTTATAAAGTTATTTTTTTCCAAAATCAAAAGAGCAATTAGGTAAAATAAATTAATGTTTTTTTTATTTTTTTTTTTTCTTTTTATTAAAATTTTGTTTAAAATTTTTTTAATTTTTTTTTTTTATTGTTTTTTTTTTTTTTTTTATTTTTTTTTTTTTTCTTTTTTTTTTCTGTTTTGACCATATCGCCTTATGTATCATTTGATAATCTAATGAATATCTGATTCTTTGTTTGACCGAATAGACTTTTCTAGTGGAGCAATATAAAGCATATTTAGAACTCCATAGATCTCGATACCAAGACATCCTATACCCACTTTTTTTTCGGGAATCTATTTATGGACTAGCTTATCGTCATGAGTCTTTTTTTTTATATAAAATGTAGATTATAACAACTTGAATGGATTTGGGATTGAGTGGATTTGAAAACAAATTTTTGTTGTTGTTTATTTGAGTGAATTTAGAGGTAAATGAGAGTGGACTTGGAAGCAATGTTTATGAGAATTAGTGTAGGATTTGATTGATGTGACAGATTAAAAAAAATTATTTCAAATCTACTCTCACCTACACCCAAATTCACTCAAATAAACAACAAAAAAATTTATTTTCAAATCCTCTCAAATTCATTCATTCTCTCTCCCCAAATCCATGATCCTTGATTCATGTTGAAGGCAAATATTATTTTACTTATATGATCAAGGTTAATTAATAATTATATGTGTATATGTGTGACATAATTTAATTTCCTACTGCTTGTATATATTAGATTTATTGTCTAATTTAATTATAATCATTTCAATTTTTATTTGATATATAAACCAAGATTATTTTATTTCAATAAAATTCTATATTTCTGAATTGTTGTTTATATTATAGGAACATATTATAATAACACTACAAATAAACTTATAATTATAATATTAATAACAACAATAATAAAATAAATAATAATAAATAATATAATAATAACAAATTATATTTTCTGTAATTTTAAATAACAACTTCAATTTCATTTTAACCTAGTTTTTTCTATTTACATTTTTATTGATATCACATTTATTTTTATCAAAAGTAAAATATAATAATATAATTTTATTTATTAAAATATTTACTAATCTATCTTATCCACAATGTCATACCCAAACATTCATTTCATGTTCATTCAAATCATATCATCTTTTTCTTAATTTAAACAATCTCATATTCATTTCCTTTTCCTCTTAAATCAACTTAAATTCACTCCTTCAAAATCATCTTTAAATATAAACAAATCCATTAATTTAATTATTAAAATTTAATATCATTATAATCCTCAATATTCTTATCATATCATATTCACATGTTTCAGTATCAATTTCTCATAAGAAATCAATTTAAATTTAAAACTTTGGAAACCGTACGGGAGATGTTCTAACCTTAATAATATGTTTACTTAATTATAAATGAGTTGTCAAATTGTTAGATTTGACTAATCAAACCAAAAGTGAAAAGTACACCAATGCAGTTTAACTTAAAATCTAATGTAATCCTTTAATCTTTTAATCTAATGGATCAGACTAACATTGACCTCTTTATTTTATAATTTACATTTATATAAATTTAAGAATGAGCAATATCATATTAATTAAGTTTAATTATTTTTGTCAATCACTTATCTGTAAGGTCATTCAAAATTGACTGAAATCTTTCTAAGTTCAAAAAATTTTAGCCATTTTTAGAGGCTGCATTCAGTGTTCCTTATGTATTAATTTATTAAAACTATGGTCAGTAAAAGGACCAAGCTTTTTGAGTGCAGTTTGAATTGTAAGTTAAGCTACATAGGTTGGTACATAATTAAAACCATGGTTATTGTTAACCTTGTCCTTTCCCTAATCAAATGCTCCAAAATTTATATATTCCTATAACAATGAGTCTTTGTAAGAAGGGAGAGTTTGATTCTCACGTTAATGAAAACAAAAAAACAAATTGAATAGTACACAAAAAGACCGATATAGTTATTTTTAATATAAACTTTTTCATCACTTACTGTTACTAGATACTTTTAGTATATTTTTTTTTCAAATGTTCTCAGCTTAGGAATCTAAACTTACGTTTGAGTTCCAAAATATCCAATATTTTACGTGGGAAATTGTATCAACTCTTTGCCCTTATTAGACCCAAAGCAGAAAGATACCAAAACCTCCAATAAGAATACAAATATAAACTATAAGATAACACTGAGTGGAAAATGTAAAGGAGGCAATATCATCAAATTAGGATGATAATCTTGCAAATCAAGCACTCATTAGTCATTACGGAATGTCCATTGTATAAATAAACCACACAAGATTTGCACGCCACGCATGTGTAAGTAAAAAATATCAGAAATGATGAAGTCGCGAGAGAAAAAAAGCCACACATACAAACACTTGCTCGATAGACCAAAATGTTCTGTTAAAGAAAAGGCAATAGAAGAAGGAAGCAACATTCAAGATTCTGGAACAGTGGCTGCTGCTGCTGCCGCCGCCCGTTTGATTGTTGCAGACTTTGTCAGATGATTATAGCTCCCTTTCTCCTTGAAAAGCTGGGAGAAATGGTGCTTGCAATACAGAATGCCCTCAAGGGCTGCATAATTCGATGGGGTTATGGGACAACCACCATGTGAACACTTGAAACATGATTTGTGATAGGCCTGCCCTTCCACTGTTACCTAAAATCAAACAAAAAGATACACACATTTATAATAGTAACAAGAAAACCAAATTTAAGTTCTAGTTATGGTTATGTGCAGAACTGCAGATTTATAATGATTAGAATTACATTTTCTCATTCAAGATAAAGTTAGTAAATTTTTCAGTTTGGTTATATACTATCCACTTCCATTCCAGCGGCGCTACTTCTCTCAAGTAAAAAAGTCTCATTTTCTAACAAAGCTACCCCCAGTATGATTTTCAGTGTGTAACAAGGTCATGGTTGATTCCCTTCTTACCTTTTGGCTTTAAAACAGTTTTCTAAAACAATGTCACACTACACAACAATCAATTTCTCATTCAAAATCTATGAATTTTGAAAAGTTTCCAAAACAAATGCCAATCTACTCTCCCATCCTATTGACAGAAGAATAGAAGAAACTGATACAAGAGCTTGACATTACCACAAACACATATTGCCAGGTATATGTCACTATCTCAGGATGGATTTCGTTAGATGGAAATTTTATAGTAACCATTTGTGGGTGGAGGAGAAGCTCCACAATTATTCACAAGCAAACATAATTTTGCTTTCTTGACCTGTAGAATTATGAACTAATATGTTTCATCATCTTAAGCACAGAAATAAAATATGAAAGTTAATCTCCACACAATTATCTCCCATTAAGATAAGGATGTCCATCCATATGCCCCATACAGAGTCTAGCTGTGGTCCAAAAAGAAAATGAAGTTCAAACTCCTCCTTTGCACATAATTATTTTTGAGGCAGTAACACGCTTGATTTCACAGAATCAAGTGTACCAGACCAGACCAAAAGGGGAGTCCAAACCTAAAATACTAGTCCATTAGATAAAAGAGTTTCAAGGCTTGACAACTACATCAAGTAGTTTATTGTACTCAATATAAGACTCCTAACACTTAAACATCCATATGCCTAATTTGTAACAAAATATTTTCATGAATATTGACCATTATCAAGTATTTTTGCTTGAGATTTTTTAATCCTACCTTCTCCAATGGATAAGCAGTTTTCCCACATGTTGCACACTTTTCTTGTGTGCCAGAAAACATGCTCGCAGCTTTGCTAGATGACCTTGTCTGGAAAAAACAAAAGATGCCAATGGTTATTCAATAATACCAAATGCTGCAGACCTGTTTATCACAATGAAGTTTGAAAATTGCAAACTAAAGCTTTTTACCAGCTCAGGAGTAGTCTTATCAGCTAACTTTGCAGCTGTTCAAAATGAAAATGTGGCCAATTAAAGCGACATCTGATTCAAAAATCACACAAGCACAGCTTCACCTCAAAAAGAAAAAGAACAACACATACGTGACTGGAAGTTCTTGCTGAAGGTGCCAGTCTCCTTGAAGAGCTGCTCATAGTGAGGTTTACAGTAAAGAACTCCTTCCATTGAGGAATAGTTGCTCAGCTGAAACAAAAAAGGTCATCAAATAATTCGTATGAAAGTTTAAACTGAAATACACTAATGCTAACTCAGTTAGTGTCCAACATTACTAACTGTTCGAATAAACTTCACAAACACTCACATGGAAAGAAAATAAGAAGGTAAAACAAATTGAGTTTCTCCGATAAGTTAAAATCAATTTAAGCACTTCAATTTTTAGAGAAGTTTGGTAATATAGCTGCTCCTCCCGTTAAAGTGCATAAGTTGATTTTAGCTTATAGGAAATGTTCAATGGATTTTACTTTCTTATATTTTTCACCTGCAAGTATCTATGGAAAAGTTTATTTCTTCAGACGCGAAGTAAAAGGAGCAGATCTGTGTCATTACAAGAAGCGAGTGAAGATTTTAGACTCCAAAAATTCTTAGCTTCATCAAATTCTAAAAAGAGAATGAGGGTGGTGTCCTAATTCTTTTTCTGATAAGATCATAAAATTCTTTTTATTAGTCAGCTAAAATTCCCGTCGAAATTTTACATGGATGCAAGGCAGCGTCAAACAAAAAGCAAGAATCTTTAGCAGAATTTAACAAATATCAATAAACAACAGTATTAATAAGCCATCAAATAAATAATGCAACTAACAAAAACAAACAAAATCAAAATCATATTAATAACGCCAAAAAAGGTACCTTTAATGTTCCTTTGCAGTGGGAGCACCTGAAGCAAGCTTTGTGATAAGCAGTGCCATCTGCAGAAAGCTGATCAACGGGATAAACCGTTTTCTCACAAGCCTTGCACTTCTGCTGGGTTCCGATAAAAGACATTGCTGTGGCTTTTAGATCTAATTTCACCACCAATTCCAAATTCACAAGGCACTGGATCGGCTTCAATGACTACTTTTAGTGTTAGATTTGCCTATGACAATAACTTGAGCTACCCATGTCAACCAAAAACATTAACAACAATGAGCACAAAAAGTTGGAGCAAACCGAAGAAGAAAAAGAAATTTTGAAAGCTTTAAAAAATCCTCGTATGAATGAATCTGTTTGGTATGGTTGAGAGAAATGAAATGGTATAGAGTTAACGCAGTCAAAATGGGTATTTCATTTTCAGCATACCTTGCGAAGAGAAAGTGGTGAATGGTGGATCGGTTGTGATCTGAAACTTTGAACTGAAAAGCTGAAGATAAAGATAGAGTGAGAAATTCTGAGGGCGACAGTGAATGAGAACAAGAAGATGAAGTTGAGAGACAACTCTGGTTGGAACTCTGGAAAATGAATGTCATTCAATTTATATTGATTGATAACAGATCATATCTTGGTCATCATAATGAAAATCCATTGAGTAGAGAAAATGAATGCATTTCTATTGCAAATAATAATATTCTTTCCCATTACTCTTTATAATTAAAAAAACAATTAATTCAGTTTATAATAATAAATTTATTTTTTAAATTACCTTTATTGTAAAAAAAATTAAGTTTGCCCTTTTTTCGTGAGCAATATCTTAGTTCAAATATTTAATGCAAAAAATATATTGGACTAAGTTGTGTTAAAAAAACTTAATTTTCAATAAATAAGATCAGAAAGAAAGATTAATAAATATTAGGAATGAGGATACAAATATCCTTGCTGTCTCCATTGACACTTTTTTATTCGTTTGGTAAAGTCCACTAATGTTGTTTCTCTTCTTTTTTTATTTTCTTTTATTTTTCTGTCTCTGAGTCATGGTTCATGGCCAACAACCCAATCAGACCATCAAAATTAGCAGACCTCAAACTTCGTTTTATTAATAATTAATTAATAATGGATTAATCTCTTTCTTTCTTTTTCTTTCCTAAACTGATACACTGATAAAGAAAAAAACCGGAAGTAAATTAAACTCGTCGAAATTTCAAAATATAAACAATATTCATTTTGTTATGAATAACATTAATTAAATATGTTATGAATAACATTAATTAAATACGCGTATGATCACAATTCAATGACCTACATCTTATTTTCGTACAAAATGGGTATTGAGCACAAATTTCATATAACTTATTGTGTAGATAAATATTAAAAAACAAGGAGAAAATAAACCAAATAGTTCTTTTGTTTAAATGGTGAAATAAATAAGAGAATAAATCATTGAAGTAAATGAAGCAAAACATACAAAGAAATGAGCCTAAAGACGAGTTATAAATAATTTTTTTTATCCTCATTAGATTAAATAGAATTTCCAATTTATTATTCTTATTCTTATAATAATAATAATAATAATAATAATAATAATAATGATAATAATAACAATAATAATAATTATTATTATTATTACATTAACAATAAAAACTTTAGACGCATTATTTAAAGATAGGATATAGAAATACAGTTCGCATGTAAATGCAAAATTTATTTTATAAATGTTTTGTGATACCAAATTAAATTTAAATTTATTACTTAAATGTTATTAAGATATATTTCAGTGATATTTATGAAATTTATATCTCATCTACTATTTCGCTATTGGATGACTAGTTGGAAAATCTGTTAAATTTTTTATATAAGTATATGATAAATATAAAGAATATAAGTAATGTGAAACTCATTTCTAACAGAGAGTAATAATATTACTAATATAATAATATATAATATATGACTTTATAGTTTTGAAATAAAAAATAAAATAAATACCTTAAAGTTATAAAAAATTACACATACAGCTATAACTAATCTTTCTTTTTTTCTTGTGGGTTTTTTTGGTTTAATTTGAGGTGCTTCTTTTTCATTTGATAATTAATTATGTTTTTATGTGTGTTTTTTTTTGTAATTGATGTGACTAATACTAATGTCATTTTCATATATTATTCAATTTTATTTTTCATCAATTTATGATAAATTTGTGGTTGTTTTCGTTGACAACATTTTAACGTATTTCAAAAATTATATCGAAGACATTTTAGAATTATGGTCTAAATTCTTATAGAAATTAAATTTAATATAGAAGGTCCAGATGTAAATTTGGTTAGATTCTTTTAAGACATGATATCACAAATTACCATTGTTGTTCACCTCTTTTGAAATTATTTTACATTTAGAATAATAAAAAAATATCATAGAGATATATCAAGGTGAAATTTGCTTACTTGTACAAGAAAATATATGCAAACTAATTTAAGGAAAATTCAGAGTAACTTAAAATATTTATCCGAATTCCACAAATAAGACTTAAAGAATATATTTTGGTGGCCTAAAATGAAGAAAGAAATTATGGGATTTATCATACGTTATTTTTTTTTTTGTCAAACAACAAAAGCAAAACACACTTCTGGGAAATTATATTTTGGATGTTTCATAATAAAAATGAAAAAAATATATTTATGGACTTTGAGAGAGGTTTGTCCGTGATGGTGTTTGGTCATGATGCAATATGAATTATTGTGAATGGATTAATAAAATCTGCTCATTTTCTAATTATTAACATCAAAATTTCCTCTAAAATGTGTTCATTTGAACATAAGAGAAATTATTAGTCTATAAGATATAGCTTCAAGCAAAGACTCTTACTTTACTTTCAGATTTTTGCCACACTTTATAAGGAGCCTTAGGAACAAAAGTTAGATTTAACCTAATTTGTTACCCTCTGTTATGTAGTAAGGATATTTATGTAATAACATAAATATCTTAGATATTTTAGACAGTTAAAATATCAGTCAAAGCCACTAACCACACTTTTAGGTAAGGTGGTTATCATTATTTTGCTTATAAATACAGTGACAAGACCCAAGTCCAGGTACGCTCTCTTTATGCTCTAGAGATCCTGAATAATATTTCAGAGCAGTATCCAATTGCTCTCTTCTGAGCTTCAGCTCCATAACTCATATCTGACTTGAGCGTCGGAGTATCTTTGCAGGTACCTCCCCCTCCTTTGACGAACATGAAGAACAACAATTGAAGAAATGCAAGCATCCCAGACAGCAGAACACGCGTCCCAGACAGCCAGGAGCAACGCAGGAAAATGTACACCGAAACACCCTTAAACCACCAATGGAATTTTTTTTTTAAATATCAAATATTTAGTAGTTAAAAGTTTGTGTCTTAAAACAAACTAGAAATTGAGAACGAATATATATTTGATAGAGTTTATTTATAACACCTTTTAATCCAGCATAAGAATTATAAAGCATCGTACTTTAACTTCTAAAGTCTTTTGTACTAATCTGGGTTGACCCAATTTGAATTTTACATTCAAAAGAGATTATTATAACTTTACTCCAAGCTCATTAGTTATTAACATCTAAAACTTCGAAACAAAATAATTATTCTTATTATGTTTTTATAATTATCTTATTATGTTTTTATAATTTTGGAATACAGACCCCGTAAACCTTTAGCTAATTCCTATATAAGTTAGTTAATCTAACAAGGATAATTATGGTAGTTTATTAAGAAAAATCTTGAGATAGTATTGATTTCTAAAATTATAAAATAACTCTCATGCCAAAATAGTGAAAAAGTTGTAGTTAAAATTTAGAGCTTTTTTTTTTTTTTTTTTATGCATCGTCAATATATTTTAATTAATTTTAACTGGCGAGGGCTGATGAAAAAGAAAATTGATTGTAATAAGTGATGGTATTTCTCAAATTTTTAAATGTTGAATATAGCGTATAGCGAAAATGATCAAATAGGCAAATCTGTGTTAACCTAAAAAGAGAAGCAAGAAGAAGATGATCGGCGTCGGAAAGGCCAAGCAGTACGGTAACGTCCTTGACAAGCCCCTCGCCAAGGGCAAGCAAGAGGTCCCTTTCTCTACCCCTCTCTCTCTCTCTCTCTCTCTCTCTCCCTCTATCTCTTCCCATTTAAACCACTTCGTCGAGATCAACGATCCAGATCTCGCGTTATTCATCACTTTGATTCCGCGTTTCCAATTCCACTGCTAATTTGATGTGTTGTTGCAGGTTAGTTTGAGTGCATTCGCGTTCTTGTTTTCAGAGCTTGTTCAGTACAACCAAACGCAGGTCGATAACATTGGGGAACTCGAACGAAGGTTATCATCCATTGCATTTTGAATTAATCATAATCGCTTATCGCTTTTGTTTTTATTTTATCCGTAGGTTAAAACTTGGGAGATCGTGTGATAAAAAAAGTAGGTACTTGATTGTTAAGGAAGATTTATTTTGCTTTCATAGATCCAGGAAGTTAACTCTTAGTCTGAAATGTTAGTTACAATTGGATAGTGCCTTCGTACTTTGTTTGAAATTTAAAGAAGCTTGAAGATATATAAATTCTAGATTGATTTGGCTTGAAAACATCATTTTCCTGATGCTTTACTGTTGTACTGTAACAATGTATATATTCAAATTGACGCGAATTAGTTTATTAGTTTAGTATCTAACAATGTAAATCTACCAGACTGGAGGATGCTGGATATGCGGTTGGGGCACGAGTTCTTGAGCTGCTTTGCCACAGAGATAAGGTATGGTTTCTGGCACAAATTTTTGTAACCGTTTTCTTTGTTTATCACAACCGGGGTTGGAAATCAAATTAGGTAATCCTTGACCCAGATAAGAGGGGATCCTATACTGTGCAATCCAGCAGTTTCCTCTATTTGAAGGATTTATCACTTTGGATGGCTTAAAACTATGCATGGGTATTATATTTCGATCCATGAGCCTGTGCTTGGAGTCTTGGACTTGTAAGTTGTAAGCTATATGAGCTATCACTTGGGTTCGATTCTTTTGTCAAACAAATGAAGGAGGAGCAGAGATAAAACACTAGTGTTCAGATCATCTCAAGTGATTTCTGAGCCTGTGGCATTTTCATAACCATCTCTACTCTTTTATTCTTCTTGATTAGGTTATTTTTGGTAATGATAGTTTGTTACTACGAAAGATGAAATCTCATCAGTAGTTGTACAAGCCATCCATTATTATAATTAACAACTCTTAATTGCACGTAGACTAATAGATGTGCCATTTCTACTCTCTGTATTAAACAGACTGATCCACTCCTTTGGCCTGTTAACCTTCGATCTATAAAGTGAGAGAATCCGTGCACATCCTTTTTTTTGTGATATCACGGTTCAAAGAAGGGCTTGTATGTTGGTTGGTTTTGTTTGTGTATATTGAAGCTTGACTCTAACTGATTTAATTTTGGTCACGAGGGTGGAATGCATCTGTACTTTTTTGTTATTTTTTTTTTCCATGATTGATGTATAGTTATTCTTAAACTACAGGGAAACAGAAGAGAGACACGGCTGTTGGGTATTCTTTCTTTTGTACACAGTACAGTGTGGAAAGTACTATTTGGAAAGGTTAGCTCCTTTTATCAAAATTTGCTTCTGTTCCATTCCATCATTACCTGAATTATCTCGATGTTTGGAGAAGTGAAATAAATGTTGTGTTACACCAGCATATGAAATATCCTTTGCTTAGATACATGAGAATTTTTTTTTTCGTTTTGAGCCTTTGTCATCCTGTTATGCATAGCCTTGGCAGACTGGCAAAAAGGTTCTGTGGAATTCTGTCACAAGAAATATTCACCTTGCACTCTTGAAAAGAAGATTATCGTAGATGTGAATCGTGCATTACATGACAAGATAGACTACTTTATACAAATCCCTTTTGATTGTTCACTCTTGAAAGTTGTGATGGTTGGCTTTAGCAAGCTTGTGTGGGTCTTCACAGTAATCTTAAGGTTCATCTTGATTTGGTATTTGGAATAAGAACACTGCCTAGTCTAAGGTTTTTTAAATGTAGAGCAAGTAAATATATTGTGGTTTTATTTTATATTCTATTGGTTACTAGGTCTTATTCCCCTAATCATGGATGTCCATTAACTGATCTTTGGTGCTTGGGAGCATGCTGGGTTGGGTTGATCATCATCATGTCATGTTTACTTATTTATACAAAGAATCACCAATCATTGATGAAACGTTGGTTCTTGACGAACCTGTATATTTTAGTCATGTGTTCTACATCATGATTTCCCACGTGTCTTTTGGAAATTCTCATGTACGGTCCACTTTGCTCTAGTGATAGACCCGAAACACAGTGCGTTAGCTGTTCGAATAGTCCAATACCTGCCTAGGCAATATATCTTGTAGTTATGATGTAAGAGATATGACTCGAGCTTGAACCCAATGGAGCTTTGATACCATTTGTTTTTAATAATAGAGCACTAATTATTCTACTATGTTTTTTCATGTCATATACTCTTTTCCCTTGGAATGCGTTAAGTTGGCAACTATCTTAATTTTTTAGTAGCTCCTTAAGTTTCAATGCTTTTCTTCTTATATTAGGTAGCTGATTCACTGGAGAAAGGAACCGAACATGAAGATGAATACATGATTAGTGAAAAAGAGCTTCTAGTAAACAAGTAATTTCAGTATCGACATTTTATTTGACTTTTACATAATATATTTTTGTTCATCAATTAGTTGTGAGCTTGTATGGATCTCTGCTTTATAGATTCATTTCTATCCCAAAGGACATGGGGACGTTTAACTGTGGAGCATTTGTTGCTGGAATAGTACGGGTAAGTATTTTTTCTTGCTCAGTTACTGTCATCTGGTTATCTAATCCTTACAGAAAGATCCAATCAGTAGTTTTGTTTTGTTTCATCTACCAATGTAGGGCGTTTTGGACGGTGCCGGATTTCCGGCTGTTGTAACTGCGCATTTTGTGCCTATGGAAGGTCAACAACGACCACGGACGACAATTTTGATAAAATTTGCTGAAGAGGTATACTTCCATTGCTTTTACTTGTTACGTGTACGCATGCTGATAGCTAAATTATAAACTGATAGTTTCGTTTTCGGTTTCTACCTACCAGGTGCTACAAAGAGAAGCAAGATTAGGCTGATATTTATACCAAGAATTTTTAATTATGATATCTGTAATGCTGTACACCACCATAGAAAGATGTGGAACTTACACCACTGCATGTGAAAAAGTAATTTAGGATTTTCACTACCCTATTGATTTCTCTGAACTCAGTGATTTTTATTCTGATGTATGTTATGGTCGGAATTATCCTTACTGAATTACATTGTACAAAAAAATCTCCTGTTCGTGTTGATGCTATTATTTTCAAGTTCTCTCTCACCCCCTGTAATAATTGAGCATAAAACCGAGGAAATGAAAGCTTGATTTGCTAGCAAAGCATGGAATTAAAATCGCCTGTGGAGTCTCCGTCATCTCCCAACGATGGGTATCTTTTATAAATAAAAGAGAGCATGATATAAAAAAATTATAAAACAAATTATATTTTGCATAAGCAGTTGAAAACTTGACAAAGTAAAGTAGTTGTTGAAAAAGGAAAGTTAGTATTAATTTTGAAGGGTTTATTACATTTATTTGATTTTTTTTATATAGACGAAAAATATTTTATAAAAAAAATCTGTTTAGATTCGATAAGATTGTTAGAAATGATAAAGTTTGTACATTGAGTACTTTGTGTATTTTCTTAACAAATAATTTTGCTTACAAATTGAATAGGATTAATATATACTAGCGAAACTAGTGATTATGTGTTAGATATGCTTGTCTTCTATCATTTTGTTTTATTTAGTTAAAGTTTAATTATTGTAATAATTTTTATTATTTTCTATATAATTTTTAATATATATATATATATATATATATATATATATATATATATTTCATATTACTTTCGTGATGTGCTAGACTAAAGTATTTATAAAGAATACCAACGTTCTAAACTTTCACCGATTCAAAAAAATTCAAATTGATTTATGTTTCGAAATATTAATTTTTATATTTAATTTACTCTAAATATTTTAATTGTGGGAATTTTTGTATTTGCAACACCTAAATAGAATTTTAAGTAAGATCTATTACTTTTCTCTCAAAATGACTAAAAGCTTAGATTTTTTAAAATTTGGTGACGATCTTAATTTTTAATGTAATAATATATATTTCTAGTTTTCTCTTAAATTAAATAATATAATATTTGTGTTTGTAGAGGATGAAATAACGTTTTTAATAACATATTTATTGTTGGTATTTTGTATGAAAAAAAAATGAATTTCAATAATCTTGAAGTAGAAAAAGAATTGATATGCCAATGCATTCATTTTTATTTTATATAC